ATATTCTCAACAGCGACTGATCAAACCCTAAGCATTCCAACTTCCTTACAATAATATTATGATTTTCAATTATTACAAAATACATTATGGGCAGGTGGTACAAAAAATATTCTAAACATATTTTAACTAACAAGAGTTTTATTTTTAACTAGTTATATTCAAAAACAAATGTCATTTTTAAAACTATGTTTAACAATAACCGATGAGTATACAACAAGGTTCACAGTTTAAACTGTCTACATTTTAACTGCCTATTGTACAACCCGCCATATGTACAATTAAAAATTAATTGTATTTCTTTAAAATGCACTTGATTCTGTTGATCAAAACCATTCGATAAAAAAATTAAAAAGTATTGGTATAAAGGTGGTTTTTATATCCATGCCATAAAGCATGCATTGGAGTAGCATGTAGATTATCTAAGTATCAGGTCAGAGAGATTAAAATTAAATAACATATGTAGTGGGATTCTCATCTTTCAGTACGTCTCCTATCGAGACTCCTATCTTCGTTCGACAGACAGCAATTTTAATGTAATGTCTCTCTGTATTCTGTATGTAATGTGTCGAGTTCGCACAAAAGAATCGCTGTCCTGATCAGAAGAAATTAACCACATCAAAGGAAGAAAATTAGGTCTCCTGTTATTTTTAATTTATATTAATGATTGTTGATGTCGCAATTAGGCATTCCAACGACCTGTCAAACAATAGGTGCCAGTGGGAAATTCTTGTGTATTTAAGGGGGTAGCGACATAGTCTTGCAACTTGGACGCTATTTTTATTCGAAGTAGTACTCGCCAAGCCTGCCAATTTATGAAGAAATGTATAGGTGGGTTTTTTAAATATTATTTTTATTGTGTTTGACATAAAATATTTAAATGTAATCCATTATTCATGATTTTACGTAAAGTAGATAGAATACACCATGTGTCGCCACCCTTAGATATACCAAACCTGCCCACTGGTAATTCATTTGTTTGGAATGCCTAATAATCAATATGACATTTACCTGTTTGCCTATGATGTCCTTATCTATGTTTCTTGTAAGTTGTAAGGATTCAGATAACTTAGTAAGAGTTAATTGTCAATGAAACTCTGCAAAATGTTTATAAATGATGTTGCAATCATTTGTTAAAAATGAACACAAATACCTAAAACAAAATATAAGCTGATAAGTAATAACTATATGCAGTTTGTGGACAAACAATATAGGAAATTGGAAGAAAATCTATACAGTTAGTAGAAAAATTCAAATATTTAAGGGTAATTATTCGGAAACAGATGAAATTCACAGCCCATATGCAAATACTGTTATCAAAACAATTGCAGTTAAATTACATTTCCTATTTAGAATGTTTTAAAATAATTGTTATATTATTACATTATTTTTTACTAAATTTGAATATTGTGATATTAGCAAACTAGCCAAATAAAGAAAATAAAAATAAAATAAAAACCGGAAACATACCTGGATCTACAATAATATATATAAATAATATAAGTACATTGCATCTTTTAAATTATTAAAGTCCATTAAATTGAAATGACACGTCAAACCATAAACGTCAAACTTTCAAAACAAACATGTTTGTGTTGTGTTCCAAACAGAAAATAGCATTTATAGAATAATTTATTTACTTGCAACCTTTCCCCGCACACCACCTCGCCCCTCGCCCAGAAACATGGTTAAATTGGGCTAAGCCATTTTACATTCGTCTGCATAGGGAGTGATGTTGCAATTTTCGAATTTAGTGTCTATTCCGTCTGTTCAGATGGCAGCATCTTATGGGCCCTACATTTTTAAATCTTATCACAAGAATCCTGAAATAATTAGGCAAAAATAAAAGAATGTATTTTGCGTTTTAACTTTTAAATACTATAAAAAATGATGGAAAGTCCATAACTTTTAAATATTTGTTAAATATCACTTATTAAAATATTATGCATTAAAAGTAAAACAAACCATAGACTTTCCATCATTCTTTACAGTTTTTTGAACCCATTTATGAAAACAGTTTTTGAAAATATTATCGTTCAGAGCTGTATTTCTTGTGATAAAAATGTCGCCGTCACTTGTCATTGACAACGCGTTGAACTTGTCCTTAAGAGATGTTTGTAATAATACAGTGACAGCTATCGAATGTTGTACAATACGTTTTGCTAATGTCCAAGTAAAAGCTACAAAGAGTTAGCATTAGTGGGAGAAGGAATAGAATACTATGAACGTAGCCAGCTGGCTACGTGGGGATGCATCGCATCGGGGCGAATAACTATAGAGAGGAGGAAGCAATGTTACGCAGCACCCTGCAGTAGCCTGCGGCTATCATAGGAAACGTACAGATAGAAAAAGAAGTGGAATGTTACTCATCGCTCTACAGTGTGCTGCGGTCGTCATAAGTAAAAGTACAAGTAAAAGAAGATAGAATATTCCAGAAATGTCCATAAATGTCATTACCCGTCAAGAATATTCTAGATGACAGTTCGAAAAGGGTGGAGAAGGACAAGCAAGCTATATAAGTCGACGACCTGACGTCAGAGTTTCAGTTTGATGATAGACGTTACATGTTAATGTTATCAGTTGTATCGTTATTGTTAAAGTTGAACTGAGTTATTGTAAAGTTCAGTTGAAATAAATTGTGATACAAAAAAACAGTGTAACAATATTATTCGTTTCCTGATCGCACTAATGCGCTAACTCTTTAGTTTTCTCTTCGATGCTAGCCAAGCGTATTGGAAAGTGTTCATTAGCCGATACTGTATATAAATGCTAAAATCAATAAGTGAAATAAAAATTTTTAGTTCAAATGGACACCTACTTCGAAAAAGGAGAAAAACTGAAACAGTAAATTATTATACTTGAATTTTAAAGGCTGTTGCCACTGGAAAACTATGATCTATTCGATCAAAAGCCTTTGAGACGTCTGTATATATTAGGTCAATTTGACCTTTCTGATCGTCTACATCTGAACATAATAATATGTGTCCAAAAATGCTTCGTTTTTGAAACACATATTTATTAAGCAAAAAAGTTTATTTTGATGTCCCCTCTACCACCCTTAAAAGTTTGTTGGTATATTTACAGGACCCTTTGTATATCTAAATCTGTACAATGTAGGTACTCATCAGATTCTTGTTAACAACTAAAAATATAATGAAACAGAGTTCAGAAGTTACAGGGAAACTATTACTGAAAAAATAAAAATAATAGTTACCTATATAGATTTATAGTTATTACAAAATACATTATGGGCAGGTTGTACAAAAAATATTCTAAACTCATTTTAACTAACAAGAGTTTCATTTTTAACTAGTTATATTCAAAAACAAATGTTATTTTTAAAACTATGTTTAACAATAACCGATGAGTATACGACAAGGTTCACAGTTTAAACCAAGTCTACATTTTAACTGCCTATTGAACAACCCGCCATATGTACAATTAAAAATCAATTGTATTTCTTTAAAATGCATTTGATTCTGTTGATCAAAACCATTCGATAAAAAAATTAAAAAGTATGGGTATAAAGGTGGTTTTTTATATTTATGCTATAAAGCATGCATTGGAGTAGCATGTAGATTATCTAAGTAATAGTAGGAGAGGTTAAAATTAAATTATTATGCAGTGGGATTCTTTCAGTACGTCTCCTATCGAGACTCCTATCTTCGTTCGACAGACAGCGATTTAATGTGATGTCTTTCTCTATTCTGTATGTAATGTGTCGAGTTCGCACAAAAGAATCGCTGTCCTGAATATAGTGGAAAATGTTAAGATTTGGCTTAAAACTGGGGGTCAAATATTAATATATACTGAGAAATTGTAAAAAATGTAAAATTTGTACGAGATTACTTTATCACCAAAAGACTTTATTAAGATTACCATTTCAACGTTTATGGTACAATTAAATGAAACAAACAATTGGCATTTATAATAAATTTTAGTAATAGGTATATTTTTAAATTTTTGTTGATCCCATAAACATAGGAGAAATGGTTTGGTGAACAATTAATTCCTAATTTGCCACCAAATGCTGTTATACATAGTAATGGATAATGCCCCTTACCACTCTCGTCAAACTAGTGAAATTCCAAAAGCGAAAGCTCGAAAAGAGGTAGTTTCCGCGTTTTTGGACAAAATGCAGGAGTATCATATCCACCTACAGTTTAAAAAAAGATTTTCTTGCAATATTGAAAGGCTTAAATTTCAAACCTAGCCATGTTGTACATTAGATGGCTACGGCATTCGTTCAGACCGTAATACATTTACCACCGTATTATCGTACATTAAATACCATAGAATTAATTTGGAGTAATATCAAAATGGAGGTAAAAAAAATTAATCCTGCGTTGTCTGAAACCGTTTTAGATGTTATCAGAGAAGTTGTTGGAGGTTACCGTGTTACCAAAATTGAAAATGACCATCGAATATTTCCGGCCTATTCTTGCATTATAAACCTGAATGACATGTCAAGTGAAGATGATATTTTTGATGTAAGCATGTATCTGTTGGTTCACGTTATTTTGGAAAGGAACATGGTTTTGTACCTATTTTCTTTCTCTAGGAATATAACCTTGACGTGTTGAGAAGGCCTGAATACTTCAATCACTTTAAAAATTAAAGCCAGACTAATATATTCCACAGTAATTTAAATTTTTTATAATAAGAAAATACTAATAACAGTTGTTCAAGCATTTTTCGTAACATCCTTACCTGATTTTTAATATTCAATGTAATAATTGAATACTTCAACTAAATGAAATATAGTTTCATGGCGATTTTAATTACAAGTCGTGAATATTTATTTCGGATCAATTTCGTAAGTGTTGCCTTAAATATTTAAATACGTATAACATTTCTTCTTTAAAGCGTAACATACAGCTAATTAAGTCCGTCCCTGGGTCGCCGCTAAACGTGTTTTTATACGATTTCCTTTGTTTTGCCGAAAGGGAAAAAATATCTTTACCTTCAACTATACTTTTAGATTATAAGTAATTACTATAGTACGCCCATTTGGTATTTAAATCACTAAAAGCATCCATTTAGATTCAATTCTGATCAAATGATTAAAATAAACCCATTTAGATCTAGATATTTATTCATTTAGTGTAGTTAATTATTGTGTACAAAATATATACAATATAAAACCGTTTCTTTATGTTGTATCCAAGTGAATTTGAATGCGCATAAAGATGAAACAACGTTTGAAATATTATTTAGAAGAATCAAATTTACATGGTTTAAAATATGCAGCTGACGATAGAAGGGCATGGTTTGTAAGGTAGGTACCTCTATATACATACTCATCAAATCCTTAATTCTAGAGAAATGATTTTTTATTGAAATGTGTTAAAACTGACTATATAAATATGTGAAAATGAGTGGAAACGCAAATTATGGTTTTTTGAGCGAAAAACCGTTTTTAAAAAAACTCTTTAATTCCTGAATACAACTCTAACGTATGAAGAATATCTGAAGAATTATTGAAATAAACAAGTTACCATATATTTATAACTTTTTAAATACTGACTAAGCTAAAGATAAAATAATATTTACTATGCTAATTCTATACATATAACTCCTCCCTTCCTAAGCTGAGAAGATCAGGGACTGATTCTTCGAAGTTTCTGGATTATCTTCTTTTCTTCTTAATTCTAATTCTTTCTTTATTTTCTTCATTTGTAGATTTTCTTGCTTCTTTTCGGTGAGGACATATTTTCAATTGTAGTATTTCTTTTATTAAATAACTGAGGCATAAGGTTATAATTATAATAATTGAAATTGATTTACTTTTATAAGGATTATCTATTACTTCTTCTACTGGTTTAAGACTTTTAGCAATTTTACTTATTTCATAAAAATTTTCAAAATTGACTTTGGTTAAATTAGCTTTTTGAAATTGAATTGGCGTCTTCATATCGTCTATTTTGAATTTTGGTAAAATCAGAGGCGTTCCTTCTTGGATTTGGACGTCGTTAATGTAATTTTCTTCATTAATCTCTATATTACACTTTTTAGGAATTTTTATTAAGACTGGTTTCTCAATTTTAAAGTATTGATTGGATTCGCACGTTGAAAGTATTTTTTCAGGTTTTGATGGCATAAATAGGACTTCATCTCTCGTGATTTGTTGATTGATTGATTCTTTAATGCATACATCTAAAAATTGGCAATTGTTTGGATTATTTCCATCTAAGAGTTGAAGAGTACAATCATCTTTAGTAATATAATTTTCTTGACAATAGTATATTTTTTCTACTGTTGGACATTCGTCTTTTTCGAATTGGACTTTTTTCTCCCGTGCCAAATAAGGGTAATTGGGGATAAACATTTTGTCATTTTGGATAATATGATAAAGGTGATAAAATTCATAGGAAACAGGTTTCAAAATAGGAATATGAATAGCAAATATTAGTTTTGTTTTAGTAAATGTTACTTGTGTACCTAGAATTTGATAATATGAAAGAATATTTTGAAATTTGAGAATTTTCTTTATATAATTTCGATAAATATTGTAATAAATCTAAAATTTCTTCAATAGAAATTATTGAATTATGTAATGTATTTAACTTTGAAAACGATATGGCATTTTCTAAATTATCAAGTAAAGTTATTATAGTTTGACAATCTAAATTAATTTGGGATAATGTTCCTTGAAAGTTTACGAAAGTTTCTAAAGTTTGTATTTTTTTTGCTATTGAATATTGGAGTTTTTTAAGAGTATCAGTAATGGCTTGTTGATTTTTAAATAAAATTGTTATTGTCCGATTATAGTGATCAATTAATTTTTTGTAAAGTGACATTTGTAAATTTGTTTCTGCAATGAGATTTTTCTGATTTTGTTGCAAATGATCTATAGCTTTATTATATCTTTCTTCATCATCTGAGTCTAAATTTCCAAATAACCATTTATTGAATTTTCCAAGACCATTGATTAAGCCTATTTTATTTCTAATATATGGATGAATATTTCCTAATTTTTTTCTGGATAGTATTTATTAATATTTCAGTTCGTAATAAATTATTTTGAGCAAGACGATATGATATTTGATTAGTTATATTATCTACATAAATAATAAGATTTTTAAGTGTTTCAAAATTTTTAGTTAATTGCTGAACTTGTTCAATTATAGAATTTATGTCTATATAATGTAAAAATGTATGTTTACTATAAATTACTTTTGATGTTCCTAATTTTATAGGTAATAATAAATTTTCAAGGTGAGTTATTTGTATATCTTCTTATGCGTTAATTTGTTCTATTGCTAGAAGTACTAGGCAGATTATCATTATTTTTGTCCCCATTTTCGTCTTGTTTCTGTAACAATAAATTTGAATTGGTTTTTGAACTTTTAGGTTTTTTAATTATACTTTTATGATAAGTCCCTTTGTTAGTTTTTAATAAAATACCTTTATTTTTAATAACCTTAGTTTTCTTATAGACTGGAGAAGCTTTATTTCTTAATTTAGTTATTGTTGAAATTACATTCAACATGTCCTATCTGCTAAATACTAGGTAGACACTCCCTGTATAAACCTCCGCTTTTAGCAAACAAAAATAATAAAGTAATGAATAGTCACTCCCTGTATAAACTAATTATCTAAACTTGAAACACGCTTGACTTTCAAATGACCGCTAGACATCTGTGTCTTCACAAACAAGTTAATATGAACACGTATGCAATCATGCGATCTGGGACGGCCAATGAGAAAAAAGGCGGTAAAACCGTCGCTGGCTGGCGGGATTGTATCGGAGAAAAAACTTTCACTTTCATTTTGTCAGTCGAACAACTCACAACAAACCTTGTCAACGCCGGCAGCAAGCCGAAATTTAAGTAAAAGCATTTGTGCGATTTGATTTAAAAAGTTATAACATGTAATCAATTAATAATTTATGTAACCAAGTATTAATATGTAAAATGTGGAATCAGTAAACCGTGAATATATCAAATTCAAATATAAGGTGATAGTTTCATTTGAATAAAATCAGTGCATCATCCAGAACTTCGAGAGCATCCTCCAGAAGCTATAGGATGGAGCATAAGGCCTTCACCCCCAGGTAACATATTTCGAACATAGTCATACAGTCCACACATGATCGAAGGCAGTAAGTGTCAAGTCTTATAAACCCAGGGTAAGACGGTTATTATATATGCAGTGCTTGGTTCTTCATAATTAATTGGTTCTGATCGATTTTCTTTTGTATTATCTATTACTTTTTGTTTAATTGTTTCATTTTTATCTTTTATGTCTTCGTATAATTTTTTACTAATTTGTTTATGATTTTATCGGGTCGATGGTGTAGCGGTCTTACGCGCTTATATTCGTTTATAGGCAAGTTTATGAGTCCGAGACTGCTGGGCTTCGAATCCCAGACCAGACCATGTGGATTTTTATTTAAATTGCATGGTTTGGTTTAGGATTTGATGTGTGCCGTATTAATAGAAAATTCAATTTCTATTGATATGACATGCAGATTATAAAATCGCCATACATTATCGTCTCGATGATGGTGGGTGAGGTTTTCCGGGTTTTCCTCACCTGTAAGTCAAATGGCACCATCAATCATCCTTAAGTCGCCCCGGAGCGCTACGGCAAATAATAATAATAGCCGTCCCTTCCCCTACACAAGTCCTTCAGACGACTTCAGGGGTTGAAATTCACTCGTAAGGGGGTGAATTAGGGAGAGTATTATTATATTATTATATTATAACTAAATTTTGTACGTAATTTGAAATTATAAGGTGATCATTTAAATCGAAAGGATCTTCATTATTAATATGTCCTTTAATTATTTGATAAGGAGTGAATTTTGTTATGGAATGTACGGAATTATTATAGGCTAATATAGCATGTTTTATTAATTGATCAGGGGTTAGATAATTATTTTCTTCTTTGAGACATCTAAAATCGTTCTACAGGTGAATTTGAATTGCTATTTTTTGCAGTAGTATAATGAAGTTCAATATGATGTAATTTACAAAAATCTTCTAAATCATAATTTTTAAATTCAGTGCCACTATCTGTTGTAATTTTTTGAGGTTATCCATGATGGGTTACAAAATTTAATAAATTATCTACTACATTTATTCCTGTTATACTTTTCATAGGATATGCCTGATCATATCTTGAGAATGAATCAATAATAGTTAAATATGATTGATTAGAAATTTTATGTAATATTTAATATCTTCCATCATTTTTGGCCAATAATATTTAGAACTTAAGGCTGCATTTACTTCATTAATATCTATATGTCCTGATTTATAAATATGGTGATATTCGATTTTAGTTATTTGTTCATCAGTTGTTAAAATGTCCGTCAAGAATTTTGTACAATGTATAAATGTAAATGCAGAATGTTTAAAATTATTTTGCACTGTAGTTATAAATGTTTCAAGTAAATTTTGATTTTTAAAATATAAGGCATATGTTAGTTTTGGATCAATATAATCTTGGACAAAATTAATAATTTGTTCTAAATTAATTTTAGATAAGGTTACATATGTTCTAGAATTTTCAAAAATCTTTTCTATTCTTACTTGATTATTTATTGATTCTCCAACTGTAATAAACATTTTATTTTTCTAAGAGTTTAAACATCGTTTTGAAATATGAATTAATTAAAATTATGTATATTTCTGCCAAAACTAAAGTATGTATTAATGTTCAGTTTTTAAATCTTACTCTTTTTCTATCAGAGTTTGCAAAGTTTTTAAATTTTATTCTCTTTCTATAACATTTGTAGGTTCCAGGTTTTTCATTTTGTTTTTAATAATATTTGATGATAAAAATTTTAGTTTTTTATTACAAATATTTGTTCGATTTATTTTAATATTATTATGCAACAATGAACATTCTTTTTTATTACATGGATTTATTTTAGAAAGTTTCCCATCGTCAAGTTCATCTATTATATTTTGAGGTGATTCATAGTTTGTTAAATTATTTTTGTGTGAATTAGTATCGATTTGCAAATTTTTATTATTAGTAGTAGTTTCCATTTCAAAAAGATTATATAGGTTTGTTTCTTGACAAATATCTTCTACGGATTTCGTTATTTTATTTTTTCTTCAGAGTTCATATGATTCGTTCTAGTTAATTTTGAAATATTAGCTTTACTTTTTTACTTTTTAAATTTTTAGTTTTTTCAAATTTATTTTTAAAACATTCAGATTTATATAGTTCGTGCTCTTAATTTTGGAATTTTTTAGCTAAAATTGGATTTTTTAATTTAATAGAAATACTTTTATCTGTATTATTTTGAGCTTCAATTAAAGCAAATCCGTTTTTTGCGGTTGTTATCATTCAAGGTAAATAAATATTTCCAAAATGTGTTTCTTCAATAATTATATCTCCATCCTGTATACTAACAGGTAATTTTTTTAAAAGAGATTCCTTACCATTAACGGTAAACGAAAAATTTATATCATTTGGTTGTCTATATTTAAAAGGAATTTCAACATACGGGCCTATTAATTTCTTGTTTATTAAATCTATATAGGTATAGGTACACTAGGTCAGTAAGTCCAATAACACCATCAAAAAAGTCGTGGAAATCATATACAATGAAATTAATCACGTACCGGCAATTAAATTCTGCGAATGCTGGGATATCTGATTGAAATCGGATCTGTTTACTCCCAAGTGTTTCAATGTTATGTTTGCGAGATAAATTGTGTCAGGAAAATATTGTTTTATAATGAATGGTCTAATTATTGATTTGGAACTACCAGTGTCAATAAGGAGTTTGAATGGCGGATTTTTAATTTCTACATATGGTAGTGGATTATTTGCATTATAATTATTCATTTTTATTATGTAATTGTTTCTGAAAGGCTGACTTTCCGAAAATTTTCAACTTGTTGAGTTTCAGTTTCTGGTTCATTTTTATAATTATATTGTTATCATCATAATTTTCGTACGGTTCATCCGCGTATATTTCACATTCATTTTCTAAAGCATAATTTTGATAAAATTTGTTTGTGTATTATTTAATTCTTCAAATGAAAAATTTGGTTTTTGATTATTTTGAAAATAGTTTTGTCTTTGATTATAATTTACGTTTCTCATAAGTGATGGGTTTCGAGAGGTTCTGGTTTGAATAATTGATTTGAATTAATTGGATTAAAAACATTTTGAGGTTTTAGATTTTCCCCAAAAATTCTGTAAAGTAGCTGGCTTTTTTAAATGTAAATTATTTTTTAAAATTGATGGACAACCTGCAATAAATGTATTTAAAGCTGTCTTTTTATGGTGGTTTGTTTGACAAATTTTATCGTTTATTGATAATGTAACATCATTACTGATTCGTTGAATCACTGTACTCATTAATAACTCTATTCGACTACCGAAATCTAATAAATGTTAATTTTTATAAGGGTAGTTTCCAGTTAATTCTTGCACAAGGCAATCCAGATCTCTTCTGTCTGAAAAGCATTGAACAAGAGCATTTTTTAAATCATCCCAGGTTTGCAACTCTGTTCTGTTTCCTACATTTAATTCGGCTTTATCAATTAGTTTTACTTGGATGCATTCAAAAATATGAGCATTTAATTGATCATTATTCAGATCAGCATAACTTTGAAAAAGTGCATCACATCTACTGATAAATTTATTTAAAGTATTACTATCCCCGTCGTAAAGTTTAATATTATTCAATTTGGATTTAAAGAAACTCTAATTAATATTAGCTACTTGTGGAGCCATCTCTGTTTTATTATCTTTATTATCTTCTAAAGAAATCTTATTAAAAGTTTCTATAATTTTATCAAATTCTGTCATATAAATATTTTAAAATAAATGCAATATAAAAACTTAGATATATATTCTTTTCAATATTAAAATTCAATATTAATATTCAATATAACTTAAATATTCTTTCCTTTTATTTTTAAAATCAAAATATTACTATCTTTCCTATTTTTCGATGAAAGAGGAGAGGCAAAAAAGGATTTTGGCACTTACAGTTCCTCGATGGACGCTGGTTCCTTTTCTAGAATTCGTCTGACTTCTCCACTGAAGCTTGTTCCTCGATAGAATGGTTGTAGCTCACAGGAAAGTTCAATTCGCACTGAAGGCGTCAAAACTGCCAAAATTTATCGAAAAATCACTGTTAGCACGATGCGAACGTTAATGTGTTTTTCGTAGCTTGCGCGAATCCTACTGACTGCGCCAATTATGTTTTTTTTGAGAGAAAAACCGTTTTTAAAAAAAACTCTTTAATTCCTGAACTACAACTCTAACGTATGAAGAATATCTGAAGAATTATTGAAATAAACAAGATAACATATATTTATAACTTTTTAAATGCTGACTAAGCTAAAGAAAAAATAATATTTAGGTACTATGCTAATGATAGTTTGAAGTCTACATGGGTGTATCCAAAAGAAATAAAACACCAAAATTAAATCCAATATTTTTTAAATTCAACTAATACAACACCTACTATTTACAAATAGTCTCTGATTAACACGCAGCTAAAATAAATGTCCCAATAATACTTAAAATACTACCACGTTTCTAATAAAAAGTTAATAAAACTTATAGTAGTACGTCAGTCAGTATCGCATCCAGAGTTTAAGTCTGGGGGGCAGTGGTAATGATATTTAAGACTTTATTTTTGATCATATTACATTTTAGTAACTATAAAAAGTTAGATTTAAAAATTCTTGGGGGTGGGGTAATTACCCCTAGTGCCCTCCCTCATATATGCGCCCCTGACGCAAGTTGAGAACGTCACGTAAAACACTTGAAGTTGACAATATGGAGTAATTTTTTGCACTCATTCCATATTTAACTAAAGACAAATATAGCATCCGCTTTCGAAAAAAAAAAAAAAAAGAATGCACAGTTCTTCGAATGATTTGTTTTTGGTTATCATCCAATTTCAACAATTTTCGACCACGGGTATGCGTTTTAGGGGCTTCTAAGGAGGCTTGTTTTTGTCTTTTCGCGTACAATACGTTCAATTGTTGAAACAGATACTCCGCGGTTTACAGCCTCATTTGTAGGAAGTGTCTGTTTCAGCCCATCATACACTTTCCATATAATGTTCTTTTCATCCTTTGATAAGGGCTTTCGGGGAACGTAAGTGGGTTTCACTTGGACCCGCCTCTGAATCCATTACTATTGTAACAATATAATTCTACTATTAAATTGTTTTTATTAAATTTATAAAGACATCAATATTTTACTATTTAATAAACTTTTAAAGTACCTACCTAATATACTACACAATAAATATAACTCCTCGAATATGCACTACCACTACCAAATTGTAAGGCACAAACATGAACACCTACTCGTATATCAGCACTTATACAAAAAAGTATTAATAAAATATAAAATAATTATCGTAAATACTTAAAGCGATACAAATCTAACTTCGTCGAAAGTTAGTTTTTAACTGTCTTTGTGCCTGTGCTGACAATATTCAAACTCTAACCCGTCTGTTGTTTACTTACTTGAAACACATTCATTTGTCATCGCCTCCAAATATTAAGGCATCATCTTACAAAATTTTACTCTCTATTGCAGAGTTAAAAATGATTTCAACTGATTTAGCGGTTTTGACTATTTACCTGATCCGCACATGGACGGACTTTTTTGTCTGTCTAACTAAATTAATGTAACGATCAACGAAATTGCCAAGAACGGAGATGACACGTTTTTAAAAGCGGTGTTTTTAAAACCATTAATCACAGATAACGAAGTCATTAGGGAATAAATATATTCATTTCTTGAAAACTATCAAAAACGCATCATCTTTGTTTAAATAAAGATGTTGACAAACAAATTTAATAAAGTTTACTAACAAATACCTAATAAATAATTATTTGGTATTTGATAGGCGGCCTATGCTGACTCTGTTACTTTCCGTCGGAATTTTTATTCATAGACAACAGTGTTGATTATGCATATGACTCACCTTCTCCAATATTTTGTTCTAGTATAACAGCATTATTTTATAGAATGACACACTGCGAATACCTACATTTGTATAAAATATTCATTTATTTCCAGAGCATTTTGGTGTGTTACATTTATCGTCAGTTTCGGAATTATGCTCTTACTATTTTATAAATCGTGGATACAATTTGAAGAAAACGCCATCAGCTTCGTAACCGAAACTACTTACCTTCATTGGAACACCACATTTCCTGCTATCTCAGTTTGCCCCATTACGGGAACTGAACCTGAATGGGACGAGTAAGTATTTAGCTATTAGCGATTAGCAATGTGTAATACCACATATACGTTATTTCTTTAAATTATTTCTAATCTATAAAAAGCCAACTATGGCTTAGTCTTTGCCGACTAGTTAGGAAATAAGTTAGGAAATTTTGGGGAATTTGACAAAAATATTTCACTCTTCTAAATTTATTCCGAGATTTCGAGTATGGTTATACTCATTTTCAAGGAGCTACAAAAGTTAATAACAGATGTTAAAAAAGATATGTTAATTTGATTGAAATGGTTAAACTTACAACTCATTGAGGATGGTGTGTCATTTGATTAAAAATAAAAATATTGGACATCACAGTTTACAAAAAAGAAAACTATTTTAAACGCACAGATAATTCATTATTTTAATTATCGAGAACAACATCGATGTTGTATCAAATATTAAAAAAGAAAAAGTTTAATCTCAGTTTGGTGAGTAAATTAGTTTATTCTGTTTTTGTAACTAATTTTTAACAACGATTTTTGTATTCATTGTAGATGTTCTGATGAAGGAAATAAACAGTTTCCGAAAGCTTAACAAACAAAAAAGAGGGCATTTTATTTACTAAAAAAAGCCCTTCTTATCTTTGACTGCATCCCCAAGATATTCTATTTTTTCTCAACTAGTCAGTCAATATATATAGAAACGTTAGCGTAACCACCCTACTTAATGGACCCTACGAGATAAGATAGCGACAACGGACGCAATAACCATTTCCTTTATTGCTTCTATTTCTGTAATCAAATAGGGTAAACTAACTATAAATACTTTGTGAAACCATGTTAGCTTGTTACTATTTTTCTATTCGTTGTGCAGTAAACACACAACAATATTATACTGAATTATTGTATACCACTTATATTTTAAATTAATAAACATCACTTTTTTAAAAAGTGCTTTGAGTGAGTGAAAACATAATTGGCGCTGCGAACAGGATCATCTATACAGAATCACAAAGAATTCCTGGTCAACTTCAGTTGTTTGATAGACGATCTACGAAGAAAGTAATGCAGATGAAATCAAAGCTGATCATCTTCCTGTAAGTATCTTTCCTTACCTGTTTCACTTATGAGCACCTTTTCTAATTCCACTGAGGAAGAAATTAATTTAATTCTTTCACAAAATTCTATTTTTAGTGATAGAAGCCCACTTAATGGAAGCCCCGTAAATTTGACAGTGCAAAACCCTATTCCTGTAAGAATGTTGAACAATAGTGACATTTCCAGTCTCTGTTCAACTCTCCCAGAATATTCGACGGAAAGTAACCTGTCAACTTTTCTTAAATCCGTAGATAACCTTTTAATTTTCCTTCAGGGACAGAATCTTACTGCTCCCCAAGAATTCATATTAAATTCACATATCTTATCTAGGATTAAAAGTGAGTCGAGAGATTTTTTAAATTTTTCAAATAAAACAAATTGGACCGAAATACGTCCAGCTTTATTAGCAAAATATGGTGATAGGAGATCTGAAGAAATCCTAGTCACACAACTTACAACGTCTGTTCAGAAACCATCTGAAACATACGATGAGTATCATCATAGAATAAATAATAATTTAAGTGATTTACTCACACATATATCATTAAATGATAACCGCGAAACGGTAGAATTTAAAACCCCTTATTTTAAAAATATAGCTTTAAAAACATTTTGTACAGGTATTAACAATCCTTATTGCGAATATCTTTCGCATTTATTATTAGATTCGTTAGATACCGCGTTACAAAAATGTATAGCTTATGATAAAAATCAAGTTTCTTATATGAACTACTTAAAATCACAAAATACTAGGCACAAAATTGAAAACCCCAAAAGTTTTCCACCTAGCAATCAAATTAAAAATTTTCCTTTTAAACCCCATCAAACTAATTATAATTTTAAACAAAGAAATCCAATTGCCCCAAATAATACTTATAAACCATTTCATAATCAATCTTATCAGTTTAGACCCACGTTTCAAAACCAGAGCAATAACTCTGCTCCCAAACCTATGAGTGGTGTACAAACTATACGCACTCAAGTCGCTCAACCCATGTCGATTTCGACTAGGAGGACGCATAATTTTAATGTAGAATCCGAAAATTACTTCGAACCCCCCGAAAATTTCGAAGAATATTGTCACAATTTTTCAAGCGATGATTTTCCCATCGATGAAACTCCCCAAGATTATGAACTTTCAAGCGAGAATTTTCAGAACCTCTCGTTAGAAGAACAACCACCACCTCAATCCAATTAAACAATATTAAAACTTTCCCCAGACTTCCATATTTTATATTACCCTTTAGCCAACTCAGAGTACTTATCGACTCTGGAGGATCCGATACAATTATAACCCCCGAAGCTTCTAATTATTTTAATCCCCTTCATAAATATAAAAAAGATTTTACTCACGTCCATGAAAAAAACCACAAAATACTCTTTTAATTTAAGAACAGCTTTATTCAAAGAAATTGGTATTAATGAATTTATAGACACACGTATTGCCGATTGGAGTAAAGATTTCGATATTCTTTTAGGTAATTACGATTTAGAAAAATTCTGCGCTATTTTAAATTACAGTACGAAAACTTTAACACTTAAACAATACGACTTAGACATACCTTTTCAGACTCTTTTCAACAAAATACCAGTAGACATACAAAATGGAGAAATATTGCTACCCGAAACAAAAATAAATAATGTTACTTTTCCCGAATCTATTCATAAGGTAACAAACGGCTACATAGACGACATTACCTTAGACGAACCGATTCAATTAGACCCAATACACGTAGAATCAATAAATAATTATACATTAACTAATGATTTTCCTTCAAACTTTGACCCTAACATTATACGTACTCAACACTTAAATTCCGAAGAAAAAAAGAAAATTTTAAATCTTTGTTACAAATTTAGAGACATATTTTATGACAAAAAGACAGACTTATCATTCACTTCGGCCATTAAACACGAAATTCGAACAAACGACGAACACCCCATATATGCACGTAGTTTCAGGCATCCCCAAAGTATGCAACAAGAAATTACAAGGCAGATAAACAAATTACTCGACAATACAATTATCAGACCATCTATCTCCCCTTATTCAGCCCCTGTTTGGATCGTTCCCAAGAAAGCCGATGCTTCTGGCAAAAAGAAATTTCGAATGGTAATTGACTACCGTAAACTTAACGAAAATACAATAGAAGATAAATATCCTCTTCCTAAAATTGACGAGATTTTAGATAATTTAGGAAAAGCAACATATTTTACTACCCTCGATTTAGCACAAGGATTCCATCAGATAGAAGTCCACCCTAAATAAATTGAGAAAACTGCATTCACAGTCCCCCACGGTCATTTCGAATTTGTTCGAATGCCCTTCGGTCTTAAAAATGCACCCGCTACATTTCAGAAATTAATGGATAATATCTTACGACCCTTTCTATATAAATTTTGCTTTGTATACATGGATGATGTAAATGTATTTTCAAAATCTCTTCAAGAACACTTGTCACACATATCCACTATCTCTAAAACCTTTCAAGATTCCAATCTAAAAGTCCAATTAGACAAATCCGAATTCTTAACAAAAGAAGTAGCATTCCTTGGTCACATAGTTACACCTGACGGAATTAAACCCAATCCTGCAAAACTCGAAGCCGTTCGAAAATATCCACTTCCGAAAACCGTAAAAGAAATAAAGTCATTTCTAGGATTAATTGGATATTATAGAAGATTTATTCTTAACTTCGCAAAAATCACTTCTCCTTTTCCTAGATGTAGACGAAAAAAATCTGTAATCGACCCCACTAATTCCGCATACTTAGAATGTTTTGAAAAATGCAAAACACTACTTTCTAACATACCTGTACTTCAGTACCCTGACTTCTCACAACCCTTTACGAAAACTACTGACGCTTCTAACATAGCCTTAGGTTCCGTATTAACGCAATCTAATCACCCTATTGCATATTATTCACGCACCTTAAATTCAGCTGAACAAAATTATTCCACGACAGAAAAAGAACTTCTAGCCATAATTGACTCCTGTAGACACTTCCGACCCTATCTATATGGACGAAAATTCCTAATAGAAACTGACCATAATCCTTTAGTATGGATTTACAAAATCAAAGACCCCTCATCCCGCTTAGCGAGATGGCGATTAAAATTAGACGACTACAATTTTGAAGTTAAATATAAAAAAGGTAAAGAAAATCAAGTTGCTGACGCCCTTTCCCGAGTACAATTAAATGCCCTTACTAGCGACTCAATGTGCGCTATAGCTCCCGACACTACAGATTTCGACCTTGACGATTTCCTGACTAATTTCGACGAGATACAAAATACCTCAGACGACTCACAAACCCAACACACCTCAATTGAAAATCCCAGTAACGGAATTCCTATATCCGAAGAACCCTTAAATTTATCGACAAATCAAATTATTATAGTCCCAAATTCAGACAAATATGACGTCACATACAAGAAAATATTTAATAAACATAGGTAGACAATTAAAACGACCGACAATTGGCAAGACTGCATTATCGACGCTTTTCGAACAATCTGGAGACCTAAACAAAAATTTGGAATAAAATCGCCTCACGATTTAAGACCTTTTATTTGCAATTATTTTAGAACAAATATCGATAACACAGTTAAAGCAACCTTTTGCAATACAATTTTACAAGATATAGAAGACGATAACAAACAAACCGAATGTGTTAAATTATATCACAATTCTAATCACAATGGTATACTAGAAACTTACAAACACCTTAAACACAAATTTTATTGGCCCTCTATGCAAACTACTATTGCTAATTTTATAAATAAATGTGAAATTTGTTTAAAAAATAAGTACGAAAGACAACCTTACAATTTACCACAACTAGGCCCTTTACTTGGTCAAAAACCCTTTGACATTTTACACGTTGACATTTTACAATGTAACAGAAATTATTACTTAACAATAATTGACTCTTATTCGAAATATGCCCAATGTTATAAATTACCTGACAAAGCTTCCGTATCAGTCTTAAGCAAACTAAGACACTATTTCTCACATCATAATTATCCTAAAAAATTAGTATTCGATAGCGGAAAAGAATTCAACTCTGCTCTCTTAAAAGAATTTATGAACCTTCATAAAATTGATATTCACTTTACTACAGTAAACAACTCTTCTTCAAATTCACCTGTAGAACGTTTCCATTCTACCTTATTAGAAAAACTTCGAACTTTAAAAGCTCAAAACCCCGAAAACTCCTTAGACGACACGTTTACTCATGCTGTACTTATCTATAATTAATCTTTACATAGTGCCACCGGGTATTCACCTTTTTCAATTTTATATGGCCCTTATGCAGAAGAAATACACTTCGATTTCGATTTACCCATTTACGATACGTACAATCAAAGACATAAAGACGAACTTAAACCCTTCATTGACTATCTATACAAAAAACAAAAAGACAACAGAACTAAAGCATTAGAAAAAACAAACAAATCAGCAGAAACGATTCCCACGATAAATAAAACTCTTTACGTTAAGAAAAAGAAAAACAGAGCAAAATTAGACGCTCCCTATCAAACGATATCTCCTACTAAACAAAACAAAACAAAAATAATTGGTCTAACAGACAAAAACAACCCTACAAGTACACACCTTAAATACGCAAAACGATTAAGAAAAACTTATAGTAAAAATATACCTTTTCAGGATCGCCCTTCAACATTTCGAAGCCTCGATCAGAATCCAAACGATTCCCAATAATGGTTACTACCCCGAACCAATGGGAAACGCAAAGGAAATTTCACATTTCCACCGACATATTATACAAATTAATCTTTCAAAACTTGAGAAGACATTAACTAATAGTTTAATTAATTTCGAACAATTTACACCTAAAGTGACTGGACTTACATTATTAAGAAATCAATTCGACCACTTACTAACAGAAGCCGAAGACAATTTACATAAAATTACACGTAGACATAAACAAAAACGAGGTTTGTTCAACTTCCTAGGAACAACCATTAAATACATTACAGGTAACCCTGACAATTCAGACTTAGAACTTCTAAAGACTCATATCACCTCATTAGAATTAAAAGAAAATGAAATCATAAAAAAGTATAATAATCAAATTTCATACAGCAAAACCTTTAATAACAGATTCGATATGTTATTAGATAAGATAAATAATAATAACTTAGTAATTAAAAATGTGGTAGACGATATATCTCAACAATTAGTAATTATTAATGAAATATTAGAAATGCAAAGCATCAACGAATATATTAAGAAATTAATTAGAACAATAACATTTTCCCAATTAAATTTAACAAATATTGAACTTTTCACTTTTAAGGAATTAAAAATTCTTCAAGAAAACTTAATATCCTTATATTCAAGAGACGCTCTAGTCATCAACGACAAGCATCCCTATGAACTATTAGAATCTTCACACTCTATAGTGTGCGTCACTCAAAAGAAAATGCTCATAATCCTCAAATTACCCATCCTACATGTTCATTCTTACCCTTTAATCAAAGTATACCATTTACCTAATGATGATCATGCGATGATAATACCACCTGCCAGGTATTACTCCAACAATTCATGGTATGAAGCCTGCACGCAGAAATCCAATTTTGTTATATGCCAAAATAGAATTCACTCAAAGTGCCAAATTCCGAACGTACAGACCTGCGCTGTAGCCCACGTCTCTGAGAACTTCGTTCAAGAAACCGACAACGCCATTCTTTTAGGAATAGTCGAGCCCTTGACTATAGCCAAGACGACCGTCTCCCGTTCCAGTTTCATAATATACAATGAAACTCTAGACGTTCTAGGACAGCGATTTCTACCCAGAACCCTACAAGAAATTCAATCTCCCAATATCGTCCAACTCAAGTTAGAACCACAACATGTGCTTAAACTAGAAAAACTGGACATTCCAAGGACTCACGGACAAATTCAACCGATCGAGACGCTGAGCCTCCAACCGCAAATTTCCACTGGACTCAGCATACTTTCTTGTATTTTAATAACATTTGTTACATCTTTTACCTGTTACATATTAATTAGAAAAAGACACCGGATTGCCAAACTGCTATTCAGCCCAAAAATCCAACCCCATCAGGCCCTCGCCCTGCAAGAGCTTTTAGAATCTTCGAGGACGAAGACTTCACCTAAGGAGGGAGGAGAAACGTTAGCGTAACCACCTTACTTAATGGACACTACGAGATAAGATAGCGACAACGGACGCAATAACCATTTCCTTTATTGCTTCAATTTCTGTAATCAAATAGGGTAAACTAACTATAAATACTTTGTGAAACCATGTTAGCTTGTTACTATTTTTCTATTCGTTGTGCAGTAAACACACAACAATATTATACTGAATTATTGTATACCACTTATATTTTAAATTAATAAACATCACTTTTTTAAAAAGTGCTTTGAGTGAGTGAAAACATAAAATTATATAATTCCGATTTATATTGACCGCCATTTTTGATAATCTTCATTGACAGTATTTTTACGGTGACATATGTCAAGTAAAAACTTTGCGGATACTTGTTTTTTGGTCAACATGGAACAACTATCTATCGAAAACCACTTTTTTATTGTGAAAACTTATTATCAAAATGAAGAATGTTTTGCTGAAACTGCAAGAAGGTGCCTTACGCATTTCGGAAGAAATTTAGCACCATCTGTTAAAGTTATTGACAGTTTTATAAAAAAATTTCACCAGCAGAATATGGGGTGAAGAAAATCCAAGAAAAATATTGGAAAAACAACTGTATCCAGGAAATGTGACTGTGTGATATGGTTTTTGGTCTAGTGACGTTATTAGTCCTAATTTTTTCCAGAATGAAGCTGGTGATTCGATAACTGTGAATGGAGCGCGATACAGGACAATGATTACGAGATTATTTGTGGAACGAATTAGAAGACATGGATGTCCAAAACATGTGGTTCCAGCAAGACGGCGCCACTTGCCACACATTGGATAAAATTTTTTAAGAGCTAAAGTTAATTGTCTGCCTAGGTCGTGTGACCTTACACCACTGGATTATTTCTTGTAGGGCTTTTTGAAGGGAAAAGTTTATGCTAATAACCCTCAAACACCTGAACAGCTTCGGGTTAACATTATTCACAAAAATGAAGAAATTGATCAGAGTGTTTGAGAAAATGTTCTTAAAAATTTTGTAAGAAGAATGTTAGCATGCTAAAGAAGTAGAGGGGTCACATGCCGGATATCATTTTTCATTATTAACCGTAACATTTAAACTTTAAAATAATACAATAATATTATATTATTTCAAGGACTTTTTGTGTTTTATTATTAAATTAAATCCGAAGGTGAAATTTGGACACACTTTACTTTTACTTACTCTCAGATTGCAGTTTGGTTCTAGATCAAATTTTGCAAAATTTTAATGTTTTGAATTTGTAGACATTCATTTATCGTAAGAAACAAAATTTTACGACTTACCCTTGGAAAATAATGAACTCTAGATTATTCTATCAAAAATGACCTAAGAAATATGAATCTGTAGCTACCAACAATATTTTTTGTCGTTCCGCCACATCTAAAACACATGGCGCAGTCATATTTTCTTGATTAATCTAATTCAACAAACATAATGTTGTTCTATTAAATATAGATTTACATGTATATTTAACACTACGCATTTTAAGGAATGAAGAATTTACAGACGACGAAATTGACCAACAGAAACAATTCATTGCTGACTTGGTTTTTTTCACTGGAAATTGCTACTCTTGCTACGATGATTGCGAATCTTGTAAAACTATGAATTTCACTCAAAAAGTGTTAAGAGTAAGTAAAATTTTACTCGAGTGGCTCTACGAAATTAGTCTTATGCTACTCCCAAATATTTTTTTTTTTTTAGTATCGAAAGGAATGCAAAAAGATAATCATAGGGTGTAAATGGAACAAAGTCGATTTTGATTGTTGCGAAAATTTTTTGCCGTTGGAAACTGAATATGGCGTGTGTTATTCCTTTAATTCTATGCACACTAAGTAAGAGAAACATTTATCGAGGTATTTTTAAATAAGAAGTATTTGGCTCTTCTTTGTATATAGAATCTTGATATAACCTTTTTAGCAAAAATATTAAATCTACGTTGGACCTTACAATGAACAGTAATAGTGGACCCGGAGAAATATGGTTTAAGAATAAAGAAGATATAAGGGTAATAAAGTAACATGAGTGTATTTTGCTTATAAGCTCCTGGCAAACGAATAAAAAATACATACTCATTTTAATTATATGAAGGAGCATATATATTGCTTGACAGAAGTCATATTATATTATTTTTCTACGATCACTATCCAAAGTAGGCTTTTGCACATCCAAATCTAATTAGGCATTCCAAACAAATGAATTGCCAGTGGGCAGGTTTGGTAGATCTGACGGTTGCGACATACGATGTATTCTATCTAAAATACGTAAAATGATGAATAATGGATTACATTTAAATATTTTATATCGAACACTATAAAAATATTAATTAAAAAAACTGCTTGTACATTTTTTTAAAAACTGGCAGGATTGACGACTGATATTTCGAATAAAAATAGCGTCCAAGATTCAAGAATATGTCGCTACCCCCTTAGATATACGAGACCTTCCCACTGGCAGGTATTGTTTGACAGGTCGTTGGAATGCCTAATTAGGCATTCCAAACAAATGAATTACCAGTGGGCAGGTTTGGTATATCTAAGGGTGGCGACATATGGTGTATTCTATCTACTTTTCGTAAAATCATGAATAATGGATTACATTTAAATATTTTATGTCAAACACAATAAAAATAATATTTAAAAACCCACCTATACATTTCTTCATAAATTGGCAGGCTTGGCGAGTACTACTTCGAATAAAAATAGCGTCCAAGTTACAAGACTATGTCGCTACCCCCTTAAATATACAAGAATTTCCCACTGGCACCTATTGTTTGACAGGTCGTTGGAATGCCTAATTAGAAAGTTGACGTTTTCCGCGAATTGTCATAATTTGACATAATTGGAACAATCGTGCACCACAGTAACTTTTGCACACGCTTGTCTATTTAGATTTGAATTAAATGAAAGAAAGTTAATCGGTATTTTAAAACAAAACGTAGACTAAAATTTAAAAAAATTTAATTGACTTCCTAATATTTTAAATCATACAAAAGTATTTGCCGTAAATAATCAAATGATTAAATCATAAATAATTACAGACATATAATACAATATTATAACGAAAAAAGTAAGGCATTTCTAATAAAATAAAATAATTTTATTTTGGTGTGATCGTAGAAAAAATCTTGTGCGTAATTGGAGCAGAACGTCCTTTGAAAGTTTCGACAGATTGCCGCGCTCAGCTAACGCGTTACAACTGCCAAAGTGCTACTTTATGCTCTTACTACACAAATAGCTATTGTAAATTCTTTTTAGGTATATTTTCATGCTCCTGAGGATGTACCATTTATAAATTCGGATCCAGATCAAAGAAAAGACGTCATGTTAGGAGAAACTTTTAATATAACGATAAGTGTAAGTTTTATATTTATTCAAAAGTATTTCAGACTAAATTTTGTTTAATTTACTCGTCGATCCTTTTATTCGCTCCGTGCGCGACAGCAGCCCCAATTTGTTTTGGTATTAAAGGACTATTTCTGCCTATACTGACAAATACAATTTTTATTAGAATTCGTAAATAAAAAGTATATGTTAGTTTTAATAAAAGTATATGGATTTGTAAAACAAGTAAAACATTAATTTATTGTTATTATATATTTCTCCCGCTTAAATGAAAGAAAATTATGTATAATCAATAAAAATTAATAATAAGATACAGGCAGGCAACAGTATTTACTTGAGAATGTATGAGAAGTTGCCTAAGTCTAATTAGTTGTTATTGAAGAATTAGCCTATTTGTCAAAATAAAAAAATATCATTTAATAAAAGCGTGAAGTTAAAATGTATAAAAAAGGATTGTTATTTATATTTTCATTTTTGTTCGAAAGAAAACATAGAATGAATGATTAAAACTGGTTTCCCATCAGTAAGTCACAAAATTGCATTCCAGCCACATATTATAATCAAAGCAAGAAATCTTGAAATCTAGTCCTTGCTGAATGAACATTTAAGAATAAAGGGATATTAAAGAACATCATAAAATGATAATTTATTGTTTATTTAAAACATTTTAAGTTTCTGATGTCTACTATTTCCAGCATTAATGTTATTATCACAAAAATAAACGTAATTTTTCTTCTTGTTGTACACCAACCCATTTATTTCTTTGATTTAATTTCCACTTTGCTAGTGAAATTTTTTATATAAGTGTCACTGTTTTTTTTGCTAGTATTTGTACAATTTTCAACACAGCAACTCCGGTTGCTTATTGTATTGATTTTACCTACTTTTTTGAAAAAAAAAAAATTTAAATGTATACGTGTATTTGATATGCCAAAATTACAAAATATCGCCCTAAAATGCACGAATTATCCGCAGCTAGCGCTAGTATCGCTTTTGCTTCCCTTTCCATGACTTCGCACGGAGCGAATACGAGTACATACATATTCCTATATTGTCGCTTAGGCGGAGTTATATGATAAATCTAGAAAAGATTTGGTTCATCAGAACAACTCATTGAATATATTAGTCTTCTTCTAAGCCACCTTGTTTTACATTTTTATTAGATGTCTTCATCCTTCTTGATGGTTTTAATATATAGATTTTTTTACTCTAAAGTAGATTTGGCATTTTCAAATCGTATAGATACTTTTAGGGAACATGGACTTATATTCTCCATAGTTTTACCATTAACGATACTGTTGTATTTCAATTCGGAAATTGTATAGAACAATGTTATTTTGAACACGCTTATATAACGGGGCGGGTGGCTCAGTGGTAGAGTCTCTGCCTGTGGATTCAATTGTCCCATGTTCGAATCCCACCGTTGGCCGGAATTTTTTCATTTAATTTAATTATTTAAAATTAATTCTGATGCCTTGGTAGGATTCCCCACTCGACCATTCACTGTTGGGTTCTAATTAACAGTGCTGTTCCTGAAGTGGCGCTGGGAAACAGTATCAAAGCCTACACAAAACACGAGGCGAAATAACCTTAGCAGTTGAAGCCGATGACACACCAAAAAAAAACACGCTTATATTAGCTTCACCTGTATGTATGTTAACTCTCCTTTGGACTAAAAGCAACTGGCTTCTTATTACTGTCAGTATATCCCACTAACTCAAGTTCGTTCGTTGGCCGAGCGGTCTAAGGCGCGGGTTTTCGATTGCCAGACTCACCGATCGTGGGTTCTAATCCCCACGGATGAAATAAAAATAATTTTTTTTTCAGCAATTTTTTTTAACAATTAAGCGAACTAAAAAGTAAAAAATAAATATAGTTTAAAAAAACTAAAAAACACGCTTTTATAATACATCGAACTAAAAAGTGAAAAATAATTTTTCAAATAAGCCTAAAACAATAATAGAAAATACTAGGTATTATTGTGAAAAAAGCGTGGGGTGCTTTGTCCATATTTCTCGTACATCAAGCGCCCGACGCTTTTTTCACAATAATACTAGTATTTTCCATTTATTATTGTTTTAAGCTTATTTGAAAAATTATTTTTTAGTTCGATGTATTATAAAAGCGTGTTTTTTAGTTTTTTTTAAACTATAAATAATATTAATTTATGTTATTCTGGATGGTAAATACAACAAAATGAAAACGTAGAATGTTTCTATACAGGGTGACAATTTAAAAACACACATTGTTTATATATATTAAAATAACCCCCTACTTGTCATTTATCATTGGAAAGCTAGTGAAAAATACTTTTCAAAGATATAAGTTATACTATATACAATAAAAAAACCTATTTAAAAAGAAGATGGCATGTTTCTCTGAATGAAACATTTTTAAATATTTCTAGTCCAGGAATTACCTAGTACAAAATGAATTGTTTTTATTAGATTTTACTTTTTGCTTTACGGCTTATTTCTACGAATTCTTGGAAATTTTATTTACCAAGCCAGTAGTCGTTATATAATAATATTTCTTTTTAATAAATAATTTTCAAGTTATTTGTACGTAGTTACAAGTTTTTTGTTTTATTATTCAAGTTAACTTATTTTCTTTTTAATGATTAACGTAGATTTAGACAACATATTATACATTATTTAAGACACATTTTTAGTTTTTATATCTATTTCTTAAAATAATGTGATCGTACAAAAACAGATTGCCGCGCTCCGCTACGTGGAAAAATCACTTTTCACTATTTTTACACAAATTAGGCATTCAAAACAAAATGGTTGCCCGTATGTAATGACAGGCCACTCACAGGCACGTGATAGGTTATTATATGGCAATACTGTGGGCACAGAAGAAAGAACAATACAGAAAAGAAAGTAATGGTCGCACATACTTTGATTTTCTTTTACTATACGAAGAATGGTCGCACTGCGCAGCTTTCTGAGTGCCTTTTAAAAGGAGATAGAAAACTCCGCCATTTTGAACCCTTATTACGTGTTGCCTACATCTTGGCGCAATATTTTTAATAGGTGCGTTTTAATCATCCGCTTCTGCTTCGGAATTGTCGGTTTTCTTGTTTTAATCTGACAGGTTAAAACAACTAAACCGACAATTCCGGAAGCAGAAGCGGATGATTAAAACGCACCTGATATTTTGCTTGCTGCTGTCAGTGTCAGTCACATACTTTGATTTTCTTTTACTCTACGGAGAATGGTCGCACTGCGCAGCTTTCTGAGTGCCTTTTAAAAGGAGATAGAAAACTCCGCCATTTTGAACCCTTATTACGTGTTGCCTACATCTTGGCGCAATATTTTTAATAGGTGCGTTTTAATCATCCGCTTCTGCTTCGGAATTGTCGGTTTTCTTGTTTTAATCTGACAGGTTAAAACGACTAAACCGACAATTCCGGAAGCAGAAGCGGATGATTAAAACGCACCTGATATTTTGCTTACTGCTGTCAGTGTCAGTGAATATTATTTTTGAAGTCACAGTTTATTGCTAAAGAATCAGTTAGCTCACTCGGACCAGTTGAAAGTTCCAAAATAACATCCACTCCAGGGATACAAATTCAGGATACGCAGAAGACTGCTGTTTTATTATAGGCGGTTGTCATATATTGTATTATCCGAGTTGCACAGTGTATAAACTGAAACATTGAGATCCAAAGTGCCGACGCATAGTGAGCGATCTGATTCTTTAGCTGTAAACTGTGTCACAGGGTACAAAATGGCCGCGCTCTATGTTGGGCGTGTCGGATCTCTCTCTTGCCTCGTATAGTAATCAAAGTATGTGATTTGAAACTATTCTCGATTTACGTAAATTATTTTTTGATTTGTAACACTTTCGACAAAGGTTTCAAAAATAAAAATTTATAAAGTTTTAAACAATAGTTTATTTTACCCTGTCATAATGAACTATTAATATTGTACCACAAATCTCACTAGTAATTTATGATCCATAAGTATAAGTATTAGCTAAAGCGTATTTTAGGGATTTTATGAATAAAAAAAAAAAGAAAAATAAAATAACGTGTATTTATGCAATTGATAAGTTTACAATCTAGTGCATGTATTTTATTAAAATAGAATTGTTTGAAAATTAAAATAATTAGAATTGTTTACACAGATTTATAGAGCAAGCCGAATTTATAATACATAGATAAGTAGCTTTATTAAAATAGCTATATCCTAATATACAACAAAAATATAGAATAATTATATAAACGGTACTTATAAAAGTATTAAATAATGAGTAATTAATTATTACTAATTATTTTGCTTCTTTTTGCACCAAACAAACGTTTTCTCAACGTTGCTATCTTCAGTCGCAGACTCTGCTTTCTTGGAGTGTTTGATGATAACACATTATTCGTTTGAATTTATGCTGTTACACAAGGTAGAGAAACAGATGGTTGACTATGCACTTGTTCAATAAATTCTACTTCTGCTGAAGTTGAGGGTAGACACAAGTTGTCTTTGCCTTCTTCGCAATGAAAGAGAAACTAAATTTTTATCAAATCAACTAGTGTCAAGAAGGTGCATTATTTGTCAGAATTAAATGTTTGAGTCACACTTTTTAGCTAGATGAAATTTAAAATAATTTTATAAAATGTAAATATATTTCTGTGCATAGGAGCTAAACTGCACTGTCATTCCAGTCAAATTTTTAGTACAGCAGATTGAATGTTGTTAAATTATTAAATTTCAATTAGATATGCATTTAGACACCCATTTATTGTCACAATATTTAATTTTTTTACTAACCTAACTACTAAAACTACTTTATTTTAATTTGCATAAGTTGTTGTATGTCGACATAGTGTAGTTTACCTCCGAGGTAGTTCTACAAAATGGAATGTATGGGTTGATATTCTAAGATTATTATCATTTTATTTTTTAAACTACTAAATGTAATGTAAAAAAATGACAAGACGAGTAGCAAACTTTTTGTAACATTTAACCATAAATTTTATTTATTTACCTTGCAAAACTGTGACTCTTTTC